AAAAGACATAATTATAATAACACATAACCTATGTGCGTTATGTGATATTTCAAGTACGGTTTTTTTCATACATTTTAGAGGGGGGGAGGAAATAACTAGATAAAAAGTTTAAATCTGTCGGTTAAATAGTTATCTTTTTAAAACTATTTAACTCGATTTGAACTTAAATTTTTAAAATTATTCAACGGTTCGATAAACGTAATAAATTAAAAATGGGAATTTTAGTTTACGATCTAAGCAATTTTATACTTTTGTGTACACATTTTATAATATCAAAAATATTTTAATCTTAAACTTCGAGGTTGCAGGTTTTTAAATGACTAATTGAAACTAGTGGGTATATTGGGTAAGTTAAAATTTAAAATTTTCAGTATTTTCTGAAGTAATCACAGTGAATCATATTTTTTATACACACATTACGGTACACAATAATATAATACTAAACAATGGTCAACCAATCATTAGTTTGATTATTAATTTGAGTTGCTATATCTGCTATAAATTATGTGTATGTTCATTTTTTGAGTAAAACACAATAATTTAGCTGTTCGAAATGGACAAATTTTAATGAAATAAATATTCAAATTTTCAAAAATTAACGTAGTTCTTTCATAACTTAAACTAAATATTATCATAAAACGATTCACACAATATACTCGTAATTTGAAGCGTCAGAAAAAAGATTTAAAACTTAAATATGTTTATAAAATTAAATTTGATCTAACTTTCGCTTACATTTTGATATAATTTTAATAAAATAATATACCATTCTCAATTTTCTTAATGTTTGATGCTGATATGTTGTTATCAATATGGCTTATGACGAATACTTACAAGATCATTTAACTTTGAATTGTATACGTATTTTGAAATGCCTTAATTTTAGATTTTTTAACTTGTCTAGACAAATAAATTTAAGTGTATGAACTTATTATGAAATTAAAATAAACTTGAACAATAATGCATTTTTAAATATAGTACTGTTTCATTGTAGACCACTTATTAATTATAATCAAACTTTCATTTTAAAGTTTGATATTTTTAAATTTAAATTATCGCATACAAGTAACTAAAGAATATAATAATATTATGGAATCGTGTGTCGTATAATTTATCTCGGTAATACTTACACATCTAAAATAAAATACATTATTATTAACATAAAAATATTAGTGATAATTTTAGTTATAAAATTAATTCGAAATTAATTTTGTATAAGCTTTTAATTACTTACATAATATGTAAAAGTAAATTTCTGTGTACTTTTTGCCTAAATCTTCAATACCATTTCCTCAGAAAAAATGACCTATTTAGTACTTCTATGAATATTCAGAAGCATAAGTCCATTTATCGATCTTCTCATCTTCTCATATTGTTAATATCACATACGTTTTTGAACGTCGAAGAGAAATATTTGAGGTAAACTTCTTTTTACAGCGCATGTGGTCATTGGTAAGTATGACGAAAATAACTTTACAATATATTCGTAAGATGAGTAATAACTAATAAGTAAAATAGCAGTTTAAGTTATATAAGTAATAACTAATAAGAAGTAATGACTGGTTTTTTATTTAATATAACATTTTTATTTAATTGGGATTTTTGCAATATTTTGTACAAAGTAACATAAATCGAACAAGTAGTAGATCATAAAAAATACAGATTGGCCCGTTCAATATTTGTTGTCGATATCTGATTTATCATGTAAAAATTAATTTGACAATAATTCTACATAAGTATTTTATAAGATGGCCCCCTTCCCCAAATAAATAAATAAATATCTCAATTTAAATTATCATTTAAGAACAGTCCAGTGGTAACACAAACTTCTGTTTTTTTAAATAAGGACCACTCTTTTTTTACTCTAAAATGTTCAGCAAACGATTAAATATTAATGTATCTTAGTAATATAGTGTAATTTAATCAAACAAATAGTTTTTAAGTTATTAAACATTATTATGTATCAAAAGAATATTAGACATGTTTATACATATACATACCATCAAATATGTAATCATGTAATATTGTATATTTGATCATATATTTACGGAAAATTTAAATAAGCCAAGAAGTATAATATAATTCTTATTTTTTATTGATTTCACAATTATAATTTGTCCATTATATTACACTATTAGAATTTTACAATTTACAATAATTATTAACTGAATAATAGCCAATAAGAATATAACTAAACAAATACTGAAATATTTATATCTATTTACATTTTTATCACAGACATTATCCTTGATGCTTACGAAAAATTTGATAAGTCAGAAACCACTCTTTAAAATTTCAATTTAGATACCTACATCAACAGTTAAAAAAAAATTAACTAACGCGAATAACTTACATTAAAGGAAAGTGACTCTTATTTGAATTATAGAAGTTTTTATTGCCATTCGCCACAAGGCACTCCTTAAAAATGGTACGAAAAATCGAAAGTAGGCATTCGAAAATGATGGTCTTAGAAAATCACAAAAAACTCGATTTTGAATAACTGTATTATTTAAGAAAAAAATACGAGTGAGCATGCTTGGTGAATCACCCTGCATATATGTCATATTTTAATTTGTAAGTATACCTTGTTTATTTGTTGCGAATAAAATAAAATATTATATTGCTCGTTTCGATGATAACGATGACGGTAAGCATTATAATTTATAACTATACAGTATTACAGCTAGCCACTAAGTATATCTATTATTCTAATAATAATAATAATAATATGGTCGTTCATAAATCATTATGGTCATGTGGTGCACCCACGTCGTATGTGTTTCTAATGCTACGATGCGTCAATTAAAATGCTGTGATGATCGAAATATTTTATATTATCATATTTATGTACATAAAAATTTATGTTTACGTATACCTACGAATGCAGTTACATTGGAATATTGTAAAATTCAACACGACACGCTCGTATTGTTATAAGACCCGTGAGGAATATAATAATATGAACCTACATAAATATAAATATGTATATATGTTTTTTTTTTATTACTTTACAACGGGTAAATTTTACATAACATACAAATGTGAATGTTTGAAAATATACTATAAAATTGACTACACCAAAAAAAGTTTCCTTTCTATTGAAGTTTTGATATCATATATTTTCTCTCCGAGTAAGAAGGTTTCCAAACTGGTGGCCTTCCTTCTTCAAATAATATCATGTTGTATCTTAGCTTACCAGATTTTCTTATTGGATAAACTATTACAGATTGTAAATAAAATTTTGTTTAAATTAAAAAAAAAAAAAAAAATTTAAAAAAAAAATAGTTTTTTTGTTTGATATATTGCTGTTGTATAAACTAAAATAAGGACAAAACAAGTACAAATGTAAATAATATAATATTATATTATATTAAATTTAGCTTATCGTTTTATTACTTTTTGTTATACTGACCTCGATGATCATAAACGTAAAATATTTTTTATAACACACGATATGCTATGAAATAATAACATTTTACCTAGTAAAAAATATTCAAAACTACGTACTTGATAGATTTTTATTATCCGCGTGAATGTATGTTGTGTGGTTGAATGTTTAATTACTAATTTGTACACTCCTATAGACTATGATGTTTATAACACTTAATAATATATATTCAACAGTTAACAAAGATTTTTTAAATATTTTAACTCAACTAATTAATTTGTTTTCAAATTGATTTATTAATTTAACTATTTATGGAATCTATGTAACAACTCACACTTTTTCAATTAATTTGACGCGTATTATTAATACGTCGTTTATATAATCATAATATTGTACATATCTATACTTAATTGCAGAAATGAAAATTAGTTGATTTTTTGAATAATCGTTCTGAATAATATACGATGGTTTTGTTTACAAATAAACAGAAGTAAATATTCTTTGATTAGTTGGCATAAACGCGTGGTTGACTAAACAACTACAGCTGCTAGAGTGAAAAATAAAGGAATAGTACAGAATACATTTTAAAAAAATAAATATTTATTACCTATGATTATTAAAAAAAAAATTAAAAGTTGTGCAATAATTATACTGTGTATGTAATCCAGGTGGTGAAAAAAAAAATTAATGTATACCTTTTTAACTGAGCTAAGTTTCATCATACATTATGTACTTAAAAGTTCAAACTATAAGAGAAAAATAAATTATCTCTAAGTAATTAAGTTAGTGATTAATCTTCTTAACGTTGATTTAACTTAACTTATTTAAGTTTGTTGTTTTCATTAACTTACTCACCTTTGATTCAATAAATTTTGAATTTTGGACCTAGTGTTAGAGGTCAGATCGGCTGTTTAAAGAAATGCGTATTGTGAGAAACATATACATTCAAAGACAATGGTTGTAAATTTTAGACTTTTACTGATGTATTCGTTTCGATATCTATATCACAAAATTAAAGAAATAATAACTTTATACTACATGTTATAAGTTGAAAACTTTCACAAGCACATGTGGTTTTCCTATAATTCATTAAAAGGATTTGGTTTGTGGCATATCTATAGCGATTACTATTTTTAATCAGTAACTTTCACATCGATATCGGATTCTTATATCGCATCTATAGTATTTTTAAGTACTTTAGGGTTATATATTTTTATATTTACACTATACGGTCTTAAAAAATTCCAAAAAAGTATGTTTAAAATTAATTTAAAATCAATATGACCTCATTAAAATATGCATTTAAATGTATTAAAAGATTTTTAAAAAGATAATGTTTTAAAAATAAGAAAAATTATCGAATCTTATCAAAAAAAAAAAAAAAAAAAAAAAAAATTGTTTTTTTAGGTACTTGTCAATTGTAAAAGAAAAGTTTTATTAAAATAACTTTAAAATTTAAAAAAATTGTTGATGAATACAAAAAAAAAAAAACAATAAATAAATAAATAAAGAACAAAATTGACAAAAATCATTAAAAATACCTTAATATAAAAGAAAAATTCGCAAGGCCAAACAACTAACCAAAAAATCAAAAATGGGCTACAAAAATAAATTAATTGTTACATAACTCAAAATTTGTATTGATAAACCTAAGTTTTACTCTAAAGCAAAAAAAAAAATTTAGTTTTCTACAAATTTACAGTCCTTATTGTATCATCAATGCGTTCTGGTGGGTGGAAGCAAAACATCGAAGGGATACATTAACAACATCTTGTTGCACATGTCCATTTGAATGTTGTCGAGTACAGGTCCCACGGCCGGATAAAGTTCGTCAGTTATTTGTATCGCGTACTGATTTGCAAACCTTAACGCTATTCGATCTGAAAACATCGGAAAAACAAATTTAGTGATTATTATATTACTAAATTATTCGAATTTAATGTCACAACATTAAAATAACCGACCACAAACAAAATTGTGTAATTTGGTCCATAATAATAAATAAGCATTAACAACTATATAAAGTTTAAACAGAGAACACACTCAATCTCCTAATTATATGAATGCGATTAAAATAGCGTTTCCCTTAAAATTGTATTCTAACAATAAAGTGGTATACGTTCACATCTTTAAGTCGTATCAAAATAATTTCCTCCGTTAAAAATTATTTTTATTTTTTTCGAAATGTTTCCTTTTACAGACTTATAAAGTTATATTTTATTAAAAAAAAAAAAAAAATAGTTTGATTTATAAACATTATTTTACGGAGTACCTACATATTATAATATGTATACTTCAATGTATTTTATCATCTCACTATTCCAAGTGTTTAATTTATTATACTATACTTTTTTATTATTTATTATACTTAATATTTTAATATATAATAATTTATTTTTTATTTTATGTGTACTGTGTAGGTAATATACGTCCTAAGTAAAATATAAATAGTAGTGTTTTTATTACATTTATATTGTTTTGTTTTAGAAACATATTTTATTTTACATAGGATTAAAAATGTTGTTATGCTGAAAGGTACTTAATATCATTATGCAGTTTATATTCTAGGTAAATGTGTAAAGAAGTTTAAATTAAAAAAAAAATCATAACAAAATTAAAACTGTACATGTTAATAAAATTAATAATTATAGGCAACTAATCTAGAGATTAGAAGTACTAATGACACTCTCCTATCGCCGTTGATTGTGATTACGCAATAAAATTAAAACTTTTGGGTAATAAGAATTATTTAAGTTTACACGCATAGGAAACGCTCTAATGTTATAGTATAGAGATTAGATTTTAGAGTATTATTTGTCTTTTGATACCACTTTAAGCCTTCTGTAGTATACAATGGAAACAGTGACGTAATATGATTTATCCTTCGTGTTCACCATTAACTAATAAACAGAAAAAATTCAAATTTTTTGATTCCACAATACGTACAAAAACAATTATTGTACCTACTTAGTGCCTTTATCAATATTGTAAATAATGCAAACTATTATTGTTGCTTCCATGATGCGGCTGATTTAATCAATTCTAAATAAATGTATTCATTGTTTATATGCATCCAATGATGATAAAATTAATAAGCTATTAAGTGTAAGAATTATTCTAAAATATTTATCAGGAATGAATTAGGGACGATACGAAAGTCGGTAGGGATACTATATTTGTAATCTTTATATATGTAAATAGTTAGTATTCTATAAGTAAAATTTTATTTTACGAAGAAATAAATGTATTAAAAATTATTGAAAACCAATGTTTCAAGATATTTTCAAATTTATTGAATTATATTTCTAACCGATTGGACAAAGTCGGAATGCTACGCGTCGTGTAGATTGCACTACTAAACTAAGTTTGTCTTTGTCACCGTCAAGTATATGCATAGTAAAATAATGGCGTTGGTTTAGAATCGATCAGAAAAAGTTTTATTAATTAGTTTTTTCTGCTCAAAAAAGCATTCTTGAACGTTAATAAATACTCGTAGATACAATTTGCTGTCAGATGTTGGAGCAGAATTACTGCACAAAAATTTGCGGACTGCGCGCACATAAAAATAAAAACCATTAAATAACTCCGCTTAAAATCAAAATTATCGTAGTTGACGGAATATTGTTTTAATAAACGTTATAATTTAGTTAAAAATTGAACAAGGCTAAACTATAAATTATCATATTATATAATTATATGACATATTAGTGTACAATTTATTGTTAAATAATAATCTATAAGTATATATATATAGGTACAACATTATACATATTTATATCGTTACACGTCAATTAATATCTTAAAGTTTTAGCTGAAATATAATTGGAAATATTTGTATAGAATAATTATAAAAGTACATGGTGAATATTGCAAGGCGATCAATTAGATGCTATACTTTATACCTATAGGTATAGTCACGGTAATTTAATGGTTTTAATCATTTCAACAATAAACCAACCATTATTATTATTAACTATTCCTTGTATTACTAGTTCACAGTTCACACGAATGTATACTTTTAGTATCTAATTGTTTTGTTTTCCAAGAAATTGCTTTTAAAACTTCTTCGGAGTAAAAATTATTCAGTTAGTTACCAAGGCGTTGAAACTTAATTATTTTACTATGGAGTAATTTAATTTTTTAAAAAACAGCGTGTAACGAACATCAAAAGGTTTTTAAACGCGGTAAAGTAATTTTAAAATATACTGTCTATTTAGAACGCGTTTTATCATTTTCGATATAACAATTTCCATAAACAGTTCAAAGAATTATGAATATCTGAGTATTAAGAGTTTTCCTATACTAGAAAACTTTATTAATTTATTTGTGTAAAAATATTATTTAATAGAATATATAGATACTATAGATATTATAGGTTTACATATCGGTATTAAATATATGAATTTCAGTTTGTAAATATCACCTGTTACGGTACCATTTAAAAATGTATTCTGCAAAGTGACATATTATTAAACTACTAATTTATTATTATCGAGTCTATAATATAAACCTTAGTACAAAGTGAATTGAAAATCGATTATTTGTGAAAAGATTAAAGTCCAAAAAGAAAAAAACTTTCAGGATCTAAAAAAATTGCACCTACGTTCCACTGTACAGATGATCAATTTAATACACAACTTTTATTATTTCAAAAACACAACATTTTTTAATATTCCTTTTACATAATTTTTAATAATCACAAAACAAAATTTTTGGGAAAAAATTACATATTTAAAAAAAAATTATCGTGATAACTTTTTAAACTTTTTATTTTTTTGGATGATACCAAATATTTTTAATTTCATATTTTGAAATAAAACATTATTGGAAGTATTTCAAAATACAAAAATAAAATTTTGTACCACTAAGTTATAACTTATAAGTTCTTAAAATTTAAACGAACATTGTTGAAAAGTATAATTTGGTGAATTACTCAGATAGAAAAATATTGTTTTGTAATAATTTAAAAAACATACTTGTAAAAATAAAATAATAATTGTCTTACATTAAATGGATTACTCGGTATAGAAACTAAATGTTTTAATATTCAATGCATGAACTTTACAACCATACAAATATAACTGTTGCCAAAAGTAAACGAACTGTATATTGTCACAGAACATATTTTTATAATTCATTTGTAATATTTATCATTTCCTAAAAAATTGTGTCTTATGCCTTTTCATAAATTAATAATTCATAAAATGCGTATGATACCAGGTGGGTGGCAAACTATAACATGTAAAGTTTATCATAAACACGATTAATTTCTTTTACGTTATATTATTGTCTTCTATTAATACGAAAAAAATATTATTAAATTAAATTTTTTTAAAAAAATGTAAAGCTCCAATAACTGTAACTATCTATTTCGAACATTTTTATAAAATTAGTGCTTATTTCATAATATAATAAATATGTTTTTACGATATTTATATTATAATGGTTATTGATTTTGATAAACTATTATCAAGTAAAGTTTACGGCATGCAAGCGATATCAATCCAATCATTTGTGTAAATTATTAGCATTGTTGAAAAAAACAGGTGTTCGATTTTTATATTACTACGACTACAATATTTTGTGTTTCGTTTATTAAAAATAAATCAAATAACGTAACACAGGTAAAATCTCGAAAAAGTAAAAATTAAAATGTTCATTATTGGAATTTTACTATTTAATTATTTATTCATTTACTAAAAGTGGAAGTATAATATTTATTTAAAATCAAAATTTTAAAAATAATATATATATTCTATACAATTTATTCTAAAAGCAAAATAATTTTTGTGCACATTTCAAATTCAAATGACATTTAAGGAAACTTTATATCTATTCCTATTTAATTACTTATTTCGGAGTCCAATCCATATTTTGTGTAGCATAGGTACACATTAATATATATTTTATTATTAAAATAACTTGTTTACCAGGATAAAACATATTTTTTTTTTTTTTTTAACATGGTACAAATACCACGAATTCAAATATTTTCTTAGTTGTTTTGTGTTAGTAGTTTCTTGGTAATAATTTTATCCAGAAATTCCATTTCTAAACGCTTTCAAACATACGATATGGCATTCAAAGCTTTGTGCAGGTTATAGCAGGAGCAGCAAAAATCAACAATTATTTTAAAAAAAAATTGTTGCATGTTTTATTTATAAAAAATAAAAACTTAATATATTTTTTTAAGTTTTTAACAAAATCGATAATTTTACAGCAAAAATTTCGATAGCAACCACCTTTGAATTGTGATTTTTTTTTTTAGTTCCCTTAACTGTTATGTGAAAATAAATTTGTAGCATCATTATTTTAACTTAAAATAATGGTCACGAAGAATAAATCTATACCTGTATATCAAGAATAAAAATAAATTAAATATTTATGCTTAAGTAAATACTTATCTCATCTGTTGTATGAGTTGAACATTCATAGTCAGTAATACCAAACCAAAAATATTTTTTTATACGATAAATAAAATAATAAAAATACGTTCAAATAAAAACGACTCGTTGTTGTTATAAATTAACTGTAATAACTCAAGGTGACAAAAGGAATTATATGTATTGAAATAAATAAATAATACAGAAAAACTGTGCTTATATGATTAAATGAACATAAAGAGCGTTATTTTAAATCTAAATTATTCAAATCATAAAATCGTCATAACTATTCATACGAAAAACTAATGATAAATTACGGCCATATTTTAATAAAGTTTATTATAAACTAGTTCTTTATATATAAAGAATATATACATAATATATACATATTATTTTATAATGTTTTTGAAATTTCACATTTTACTTTTTATAAAATCATATGTTTGTTTTGTCATGTGCGTATTAAAAAAAAATAAATAAACAATTATTCTTTATTA